ACAGAATATTAATTTCTTAAAGGACAAAAAGTGACTTCTGTGACTTTGAGCCCTACGTGACAAGCGTTGTGGAATCTTAACCTTTTTGTACACACTCTTGTGGGATGTATCATATAAATGTCAGCACTAAGTAATGTCTTGTTTGTGGCTGAATACTTTTTGTAGATGTTTTTGAAGTTGACATGACTTATGTGCATTTAAATATATATTACCATCTTTAGTTTGTAGATATGGAATATGGTTGTGGATTTCTGAGCATGTACAGACTGGTCGAGCTAGTTCAGGGACTGGTGCATGTATTTTTCAATGAGGAAGAGGGTTTGCTGTGAACATTTGCAGGAAAATCTGTGGCAGTTTACTAAAACTGACAGCCAGGTGGGACCAAAGTTTATGTGCCTTTAGTCTTAATTTACCTTGCATTGTAATATTCAGTTTTAATAAATCTCTTCAAAATATTTTGTATTTAGAAATGGATCTGACTTTACTATAAACATGGCTCAGAATCTACAGGTCAAATTAATTTGAAAACAGTTCTCTGTCAGTCTGAACTGTTACCTTGATTCTGTTTAAATGACCAATACTTTTTGAAATTGATGTACTTAGTTTCAAGATTCATAGATTCTGTTATCTATGTAGAAAAAAGGTCATGTATATTTTCTATTAGTTGAGTTTTTACATCTTTAGAAATGTAAAATTCAGTATAGTTTGAAAGTGGCACAATTAAAAATTAATTTTCTAACAAAGTTGGGAGGTTTGACGGTCGTTTAATTTCATCGTATGTGTACTCTGCTTACCTCTGTAGCATGCTCAATAAACACTTCTGTAGCTCTGTATTCACCTCTTCTGTCTTTCTCTGCTGCTTTCTCTCTCTTTTCTTCTTTGTTTTTCACTTCTACTGTGCTTCTAATTCATGTTTATTCTCTGCCAGGGTGGGAAAAGAAAAATATTTGTAACAATTTTATGGCATTTTACCATAAATATGGTGCTGTGAATATCAGCTTGTTCTTTTTAGAAAGATAGTAATGGCTTTGCAGGCATATGTGCAAATTGAATATTTCCCACCCTGCTACAACTTATTGCTTTGGAGACATAACTTTTACTGTAGTTTGTTAGCTTTCTCTTTCTATCTTTTAGTTTTTAAGCAGATTTATGCACTAATAGATCTCTCAGGTTTGCCATGCTCTCTTGCTGCAGTTTCATCTTTCATTTTGTGTTTGCTAAAGATTTTCTACTAATCATTCAATGTACTCACGGTTAAAGCAACAAAGTTGTTAATATTGGACTAGTGCACCATACATACTTTAGTCCAGCGTTTTTCAGACACACGTCCAAATGAATGTAAAAATGATTTTGGCACTTTAAAATATTTCTGCACACTATTTTGAGCTGATTGTTCAGGTTTTTATCCATTACAAATAGGATTAAAATTTTTACTCAGTCCCTTCCTAAAAGCAACTATATGATCCTACATTACACTGGTAAAACTGCCGAGTTTCAATTTAAAGCATTTTTCTGTCTCTTCTGCAGTACAACTACTGGAGATTTATTGATGTCAGATTACTTTGACTTGATGTCTGGTCTTTGGGTTGGCTTTCAAATCAATAAATAGCTGTCAGCTATTTAAAGGTCACAGTATAAGCTAGGGGGCTTGCATTAGTTGTCACTACGCTAAATAAAATGCATTGAGGAGTTACTTGCTGTATCAGAAATAAACTGATGTGACTTGGAAGCTTTACTTTCAGATACCACATACCTTCCCGTCTGAAATACCAGGAAAGTTAGTTTTTTCTCTTTATGATACTTTGTGAATCTATATCCTCTCACAAGATTCAGACCTCCCAAGGAATTGAGGTGCCTGTCTCCCTATTGACTTGAACAGTAGTTGAGGCTCTTTCTAGGCTGGTCCAAGTTTTTCATCTGTGATAGTTTGTCCTATATTTTTAAAAATAAAAATGTATTGTATTTCTTTAAGTCTGTGTCAAAATGTCCTTACATGTTTCAAATAGAAATAGGAATCAAAAGTTACCACTCCATGAGTTCAACTTCTGCAGAACTGTTTCTGCTCTAAAACATCTGTATCAGATATCTTATGGTGATTGCCATGTATTGCAATAATGTTGGAATAACATTAAATGTGCTTGAATGTTTACAAACGTAGGCATTTTGTAAACGTATTCATCTGTTGCTAGGCTTACTTCTCAGACTAAAATTTTGTGGTGAAGACTCAAGAGGGAATACATATTGAATTTGATTTGTTACCAGTTCAGGAACTTTCATTATGAAGTTTTATTTATACCAGTCTAAATTAAATGCAGTAATGGCCAGAAATAGCATGAAAGTGTGTTTTATGAACTCTGTAAAGAAAATCCCTGTGCAGTTATTTAGTCTCTTAAATGATGCGTCTTTACAAAATAGGAGTTTATTTCCCCAACTGCTAGAATAGCACTTTCTTGAAAGCAATCTGTACGTGTTGGTGGTTATAAACTGTAAATACATTTGTTCTGTCTTTAGCTCTTCAGAATGTGAAAATGTGAAGCAGTATTAATATTAGAATTTTACTAAGAAGGACGACTGAGTAACCTCTTACAGATGGTAGAAGTAAGTTTTCACATTATGTTAGTAGAACTCTACCATAGGTGTGTTAATATTTTGCAAATCAGAAATTGAATTTGGAATTGTAGTGTTGGGACATTAATAGAAAGTGGCTTGTGGCTTCTTTGGGGGTTGGTTGTGATAAAAGCTGTTAAGGAATCGCTAATTACCTTCTAAAGAACAATGATATTGATAAGTCCAGAAATGTTTGATCAGGTCTGCAATGGCAGCATGCTATTTTTACTTTGTTTCTCTTGGTAAAATTATTCATTGGACTACAGTAATCTGGCTGTAAAGAATAATAATGTAATAAAATTTTTTTGCTAGGGCTGAACTAATCTGCAAGAACCAAGGCAAAGTTTCTGCCTTCCTGAGGAATTCTATACAACAAGTTTAGAGGACTCCGAGTTATTTTTTTCTTTTAGTCCAAACATTTATTTAGAATTACCTCATCTGAGCCTCTTGATCTTTGAAAATCTCTACATACCTACACGTGTTTATACATGTGTGTACATGTGCATACACACACACACAAGTTTGATCTTTTCAGGATGGTTTGTAAAAGGAGATTCTCCGGTGACTTCCTCGCCTTACAAAAGGTTACATGCCTGCCTGGGAAGCATGCTTGCATGGTTGTCTGAGTTGAACTGAATTTTTTTCATGTTTAACTGAACGTCCTTCTGTATTCTGTTGTTGATCAGGGAAGAAAAAAGTATGGTGTTTTGTTCCCCCTTTAAAGTTTTTAGCATATATATTTTTTAAAAATATCTTTACCCTGTCAGGATTTGTTCTTCTGCACAAAGGCAGAAATAGAATTCTTTCTTCCTCAAGAAAATACAAATTACATGTGATTTTTCTCAAATGTGTTCCAAAAATTGCTTGAAATAGCACTAATATCATTGTACAGTCCTGCATATTTTATTAATATAAGCCTCAAGAAAATGAGACTTGCATAATGGCACTATGTCCATGCCGGTGTCCTGTTCCCTAGATAACCTTTCTTTCATCTCTTTCACTCTTGAGTCCAGTGGTCCATTTCCAGTCAAACTAGTCAAAGGGGATGAAAATCTCAGATATTAAGTTACTCTTCTTAGCTGATTAGTTGGTTTGTTAGATAGAAGTCCTTAACCTGCTGTGGGACAGGAAGAAAATAAGCTGCTTTCACTTCTTAAAGGCTGAGAGATTCATGTGGAGTTAATGTCTTTCCTGTTGAAATTACAGAAAACAGGCTGGGGAGTGTTTTCGGGCAAATTCTGCTACACCTTCATCAGCGTGGGTAGTGGTGCCACTGACCTGTTCTTTATATTTCACAAGATGAAAATTCCACCACTTCTAGTCAGTCCGCTTCAGTGTGTCACTGTGCATACAGTTAGATCTTAAAAATGATTCCTAACCCAAGTCTCTTGCTGTAATTTAAGCCAAGTTTGGCTTGTAGAAAGTGGTTGTCTTCAGAGTTCTGTTATGTGTACCTAGAACTTTGTGTTACTTGCAATGAGTTATTTCAGTAATACATTAACCATCACAGCAGATGACTTTTTCCTCACATTTCCATGAATGTGATGCTGTTTGTGGAGCCATCCTGTTAGTCTTAGGTGGGTATAGTGTGAATGCCTTGCACTTGTCATTGCAGGAAATGATAACACCGAGTGCTTCTGTGTTTCTCTGAATGAACTCTAAATAGCTTTCTTTCCTTTTCTTCCCCATCCCCTTCTTCCAGGTGGTGTACCTTGCTTAAGGAAGGCAATAGCACATTTTGGTCCATCAAGAGATGTGTTCTCAGCTGTTGCTGGGGAAGAAATACCAAATTGCAACTCATTGTCACTTGGGAGTGACAAATTACTCATTAAATTTGTGGTTCTGTAAAATAGCAGTTATCTTACTCGCAGGCACTTATTTACCAGTTTCCTGTGGTCACCTGGAAATGTTTAGACAGACAAACACATTAAATTAACAACTTTTTCACGAGAATGCAGAAAGTATTTGTTAGTTTTTATAAGCCGTAACAAGCAGGTGGACTGACTGTAGTACTAAGGAAAGAGATTGAACATTTTAACTCTGACTTTTGCAGGACTGCAAAACTGCATTTTTGTTAATCTGAAGGAATATACCTCTTTTTTTTTCCCCTTCACATAACTGCCTTAATGCCTACGACCTTAAATCTATAGCAGCTTCCTCCCTTTTTGAAGGAGGGAATTCTGTAGTTCTGGGGAATTTTTTTCAAGAGGATTTGAAACAATATGTGCAATGTATTCTCCCATAGCTGGAGAAGGCTACAGAGTTTTTTTTTTCTTGCATTGGGAGCAGCTATCTAGCCAGCTTGTACACTTAGCCCTCATAAGCTTCCAGACAGATTTAGCACAAGATGCAATATATTGTGCTCTGTGCACCTGCACAGCATTATAAAATCCTTAACTCCTCAGTGAGAAGTCACATTCTGAGCAAAATTGGATTATCTAGGCATCTAGTAGGATTTTAGGCATCTGCCTACATGTAGTTCAGGGGATATTTTTTAGGACTCTTTCTTGGAGTTACCTGGGATTTTTTCATGACTAAACAGTTGCCTTGGAGTCTGAAATTTCAGAATTTCAGAACTCAAGAAGCATGTTGCAGAGTGACTAGAGCGAGATGAGGGCTCTGAGCACTTTAGTCTTGTAGATTCAGAAATGGAGTGGCCCTGGATATTCGGGAACCTTCATGCTGTTCTAAGGTAGTGTTATTTTCAGTTTTGCTTGATACTTAACACCTCCTGCGTTCCTGAGCAGCCAATATCCTTGTTCCACCGAAACAGCAGCTCTTCAAATGCTTTGCAGTATTGTAGAAACTTGAGCAATTATATGAATCATTTTTGATTATTCTTTTATTTTTTGAAAAAGTTATACTTGTTAGTAATGTACTTTTGTTAGTTACCCTGATGTTAGTCTAACTATCCTTTAGTAAGTGTAAGTATCCTTTAAAAAAATTTAAGATTTAATGTATTTGTAAGGAGCCTCTACGATAACCTGGCAGCTTGGTTTTTTTTTAATATATAAGCTTGTTGAAGTAGGGTAGGGATGAACTTTGAGTAGGAATGGAGGTTGGAACAATCAGTATTAATTTTCCTTGCTGAAAAACCTGACCCTAGACACCCTCCCTTTAGGAGGTTGTATCTGGGCAACTGCTACCAAATACTGAGTTTGGATTTTTGCAGGCACGTGCTCTGCCCTGTCGAGGCCATGCTTCTATGGAGAAAAAGTTCAT